AGTACAAGTTCTAGGGGCTCCTAGAGATTTCTTAGTATTTTCTCTGTAGATGATCATTTCATCTACATATAAAGATTTTGCTTCTGCAGTGCCAAAAAAAAAAAAAGAATTATTCCTACTGGCACTAGAAATTTACGTAAGTGTGGGATGCTACCTACATGGCTACCATTGATATAGAGATGAGAATGGCAAAAGGGAACTTAAAATTTTATAGTGCTCTCCTAACATGATCCAGCAAGTTCTTTAAAATAAGCTTTTCCTTGGTTCTTCCAAAGTTTTTACTAGATTCCAGATTTCTGCAAATCTTGGTTTTGATTTTTGTATGAATGGAGAGCCATATTATTTCACTTACAGTAAAATCCTATGTTTTATATTTTTAAAAAATACATTCCAATATTTACAGTAAAAATTTTTGCTTTCAGTTTCTCATTATTTTTGAAACAAAACTGGCCAGATAAAGATTATTAAAATTTCAATATAAAAAATGATAAAAGAAGCATGAAATTTTCTTACCATTTTTCCAGAGAAGTTTCAAACTGTCAAAAGATCTCAATAAAAATCAAATTTTAAACATCTCATAAAACAATTGCTAAACTTCATGTAAACTCACTGGTAAAACTTCCAATTCTGTATTTCACATACCTAACTATATTTTGAATAAATTACACTTTTTATTTTTTCCCCAATATGTATATATTTCTCAAACTGACTCTTACCTTTGTATTATTATTCCTACATAATTTTTCTCACCTTGAATATCTTTGTTTTTAAATCAAGTTCTTTCTTAAGGGTCAATTCAAATGCTGCTTATTCTCAAATGATTTTCCATACAATCAGAAATGCTTAACATTTATTAAATATTTATGTACTAACAAAGAGTGATAAATAAATTATTTGCAACTCCACGAACAATTTAGTTTTCCATTATATTATATCTCTTCTGGACTATAAGTTCCTTAGCTGGGACTATGTTCTTTGGATACATCCTAACAATTCTTTGAGGTATAAGAGGCATAAATTACCAAAAGTCAAGGACTATATAGTTGGATTCTATAGGGTTCATAAATATCTTCAATTTAAGATGTTAGTTTGATAATTTGAAATAGGAATAAAATGTCCAAAGGGGTAGGGATGGTGGGAGGAGAAGGGGAAAACAAAGAAGGGAAAGGAAAAATTATGAAAAAAGAAAAAAAATGGAAATGAAGTCTATGTAAATAGGAAAGGTTGGAGGGGGTGAAAGCTGCACAGGTAATGGGGAAAAAATAAGAACAAAGATACATCATGTACAGGTACAAGCACCCAATGATAAATGTAAATGTACTGTATACCTAAACTATACCAATAAAAGAGTTTAAAAGAAAAAAAACTAACAGGATTCTTTAAGTGAAATTAAAACTTTTACTTTGGGATTGTTATTAAAAAAAAAGATGTTAGTTTAAGTATATTAATTCTACCCAGTTCCCATAGCCTACCAAAATCTAGATATCTGCACATACACACACACACACACACACACACACACACACACACACACACGTGGATCTGCATAAACATGCACACACAGCACATGGAAAACATGAAACAACATTTTGGAACATTTTCATAAATAGAAAGGGATTAGACAGTGAAAACAAAGGAAAAGAAAACACAGCTAGGAACAGACAAATGCAAACTATTATAGAGTTGGTAAAATGCTTTTCTGAGATGCTAGGGGAACTCCCAACATGTGAAAATTTGAAGATGATTAAGTAAACAATTGAAGGAATTCCTGTGGAAGAGATGAATCATCCTATTGCTTTCTATCCAAGAGTCCAGAATGCCTGGCTCAAAACTTGGCCCCTAGATGTTGCCACGAGAGTAACTCTCTAAACATATTTTAGATCTGCCTAAGATGTAGAGATTAAACAAGCGTGGAAGTTATGGTTCGAGAGTGAAACAGCAAAGTCTAAGTAAGCAGAAGAATCTCACAATGGTCACAAACAGGAGACAAAGTACAACAGCAATTCATTTAGGACTGAAATATTTTAAAGTGGTACACACTCAAATGTAAGCTTACTTAGTTAAAAGTACAGGACCCCAATTTTCTTGCCTGAATATATTACTTCTTATTTACACAGATTCTAAGTAAAAATTTCTATTTCTGGGTAGGAATCTTTGATAGAAGCTTGGTCTGAAAGTTGTTCAAACAAACAAAAACATATGCTAAAAAATTTAGTCTGATCTACCACTGACAAATATAAATGACCATGAATATAATACAAATATTTGAGGAGAGATTATAGGATGAAAAATTTAAAAATTCAGATGTAACAAATACTGGAATGAAAATTGAAAAGGAGATAACTATAAATATCTCTATTAATTTTTAAAATATCATACTCAGTTTGGATATTCCTTAAAAAACTAAAAATAGAAGTACTATTTGACCTGTCTGCATCGTTCATGGGAATGTAAACTAGTATAAACACTATAGAAATCAGTATGAAGATTCCTCAAAAAATTATAACTAGGGATTCCATTTGACCCAGCCATTGCCCCTCTAGGTATCTTACTGAAAAATTAAAGAATCATAGCACAGTGATATATGCATACATGTTTACAGCAACAGAATACATGATAGCTATATCTTGAAACCAGCCCTTCCACTTATCAACAGATGAGTAGATAAAGAAAATGTGGTATATGTAGATGATGGAGTATATTCAGCCATAACAAAGGATAAATCTGTGTCATTGTTAAGAAAAAAGATACATCTTGAGGCCATAATGGACTACTTCTCCAAAATGAATGTAACGATTATGTATTACAAAAACATATTAATAAAAACAAAAAAATAGATGAATGCAATAAAATGCAACAAGAGAAAAACTTGAAAAGTACATAAACAGCAATTAACAGAAAAATAATGCAAATGAATGGAAAGCATAAGAAACCAAAGGGCTAATTGATACATACTAAGGGACACACAATTACATGCACACATATGTCCAGACATGTTAATTATGCTATGAACCAATATTTTAACATTATTCAGCAATTTGCCTATCTTTCTTATAAAGTCCTCTCCTCTAAACATGTTTTGAGGTTTTAGTATTGCTAGTCTGCTGGAATTTTCTTGTATTGATAGTATAATAGGTAAAACGGAATCTAAGAAACTCTGAAAGTGACTACCTTTACCTACATAATAAAAGAATGCATGCACTAAATTACATTAGCTATCCCAATGACATTTCTCACACAGTGTGATAAACTTATTTATATGGAAGAATAATCAAGTATTGATAATATATTGAGTGTTAACAATACTCAAATAACTCAAAAAGCAAACAAAAAGGAAAGAACTGTAATATCAGATATCAAAACATTATGAAGTATGTAAGAAAGTGAAATGATTTATTGAAATAGGAAGACAAAACTTACCAGTAGGCTGAAAGCCAGAAACAGATAAAATCTTATTTTAAAACTTGATATATGATAAATGTGGCATAGCAGATTTGTAGATATTACAGGATTTGAAATAAAAATAGATTAGTCAAGGTTATTTTCTAAAATTAGCTACCTATTTCATTCTTATATACAAAAAATCAATTTCACATTATTAAATAATTAAATCTCAAATTAAAAGCTAACATTTAAAAATACATAAAGGAAAACTTTTCTATTACACATAGTATTAAATTTCTTAAATAGACACAAAACGTTTAAAGTAAAAATGAAATCATAAATTTAAGAAAATATTTTAAAATTTTTGTTAAACTATTGTCCCAAAGTAAATTTGATTGTTTACTATATTTATATGTATGTATATATATATATATATATAAATTACTAAAAGCAACATACATTATTAAGAGCAATAATATATCAGTAAAGAAATACATTATATCTAAGAACAAATGAGCAAAAAATATACAGGCATTTTGCAAGAGAAAAACATAAATATTCATTAAGCACATGAATACAAACTAAACTAGTAATCAGGAAAGTGTTATTCCTTAGTTTAGAAAACTGACAATTCATTGTCTTCCACACTGCAGAACTTGTCAGGATGGTTTACATGAGAGCCCTGAGAAGGTATTTAGAGTTAAGTATCATGAGTCAGGAAAAATTTGGTTAAGAGGTGATTCAATAAATTATAACATGATTATTTGAACATTTTAAAGTCCTCAAGAAGAGAGCAATGCTTATCTATTATAATTAGTGTCATACCCTTTATAGTATACATTTTATAGAGATAGAGGCAAGTTACCCAATTGTGAGAACTAGAGATGAATTTGGTATGGAGAAAGAAATTTTAGAATTATATATCAAAATACTACTCTGGTAGCATTTTTATACAAGTAAATGGTGAATAATAAGGACCCAAGTTTTCCAATTAGAATTAGAGTTATTTTAACATTCATAGTTCCTAAATGATACAGTGTCAGGAATAGATGTCATTACACAGTGCTGCAGAGTATGTGTTTAGAACTCAGAAGCTCTGACACTGACTATGGGATCTTAGGGGAAATTAACTCCTGAAGTCATGTTTGTCATCTGTAACAATGGATAATGACAGTTTCTGCCTCCCAAGGTTTTAATAAGAATTCATGAAATCATGCATATTAAGTGTTTAATAAAGCTATGACAGAGTATTTGATAAATACTAGCTTTATTATTGTTTTTGATGATAATGTTACCATTGTTCTACAATCTGTTCTTAATATTTTAAGGAATGTTTTCTAAGTACTTTCTATATCATTCTTTTAAATCATGGTAGCATCTTAATGACTCATATTGATTAAATGAAGAGGAAAATTACAAATCAGTAAAGTTCATTCCAAACTAAATAAAACTATAGAGTAGGAAGTCTAAGGGAGTAATGTGAAAGAAAGAATAAAACAAAATATTTTATTGTATGGAAAGTTCTAGAGGCAATTTTTCCATTATTTTGCATTTTTGATTCTTTCTAGAAATATAGAAAATTCATGATGGGTTTATTGGGAAGAATTTTTCTTTCTACATTGCAGTGAAACTTCTGTGTGGGTGAATAAGCTTTGGAAGATGACTTACTGCTAATTATGGCTCTACTGTATTCATTCTGACTACTAGAAATTGTCATGATATAATGAAAAAGTTAATTGCAATGGTTGATTAAAAAAAGATCTTTCACTCATTGAATGTGTTTCATAACCAAGGTAAATACCACTTTAACAATTACTTATAGAACTTTAACAAAGACTAAGATTACCCTGGTTAAAAACAGAGATCATCCCAGAAGAATCTCCATAACCATTAGCAGTTACTACCAGTTCCAGAAAGCCACCGATCTGCTTTCTATCTCTATAGGTTCACCTATTTTGAACATTTCATATAAATAGGATCATACAATACATGATCATTGGTTATTGAAAAGGTTACACAATGTTTCAAATACAGATCATAGAATTGCAAAATCAAGCAGAAATAGTTATACTTATATATGAAAAAGCAGACTTCAAGACCAAATCAGTCAGATAAGACAAAGAAAGCCATAACATACTGGTAGAGGAAGAAA